AATAGGTTTGTACAATAAGTCCAAACAAGTTTAACCAAAATATATGTATTTCTCACAATTATGAAGGGTTAGGGTTAGGGTCAGGAATCAGGGTTAGGTCAGGTTTAGGGACCGGCTCAGGGTTAGGGTTAGGGTTAGGACATCGTTCATCTTCTGATTTCGTATAGACAGTAAAGTTTTGTTTCCACCTCAGAAAGCTGCTAGTCACATGACCTAATCAAAATGGCCGACTTGTATGTGGGAGGAGTTGGATATCCGACCGAGGCTCCTACAGGCTGCAGCCAGAGGCTGCTCTAACCATCGGGCTCAGAACCAGAAGAGTCCAATATGCTTCCAAAAGCTGCTGCTCACCGCTGCTAATAACTACAATCACAGGCTTTCAGAGGGAAATGACGACAGGTTGGGGTTACCTAACCCTAACCCTAACCCTTTGATCGATTTAACACCTCAGGATTCATGTTCAGCCCAGAGCAGATGGACCCAGAAGGCTGGGAACAAAACCAAAAGAAGGACAAACAGCCACAACCCAGGAAAAAAAGACGTCTGCATGTGTTAATAAAAAGGAAAAAACCTTTTTACTCAGCTCTTTTATTTAAAGGGCAGCCTTCAAACACTTTGCTTCACACAAACACACACTGAAAACTGATAAACCGCCTCTGTAGAGGAAAAACTCTCATATTCCTTATTATCAAACAGCCAGCGCAGAATATTTTAAGATTCTCTGTGAGAACCTACAGAAAAACCCTCTAATAGCTAAAAAAAAGTCCCCCAAAAGTTCAAAGAAGCGGTCAAAAATCTGGAGTAAAAAAAGGTAATATGTACATAAATCCTCTAACAGGTAAATTATTTTAAATCTTTAAAAAACTCAATAAAAATAACAAAATAATTGAAAAGGTTATAAAATGCTCATAAAGGAAAACAATCATGAAACAACAAACAAATTAAACAAAATGCTCAAAAATCCTGAAAATATCTAATTAAGCTAAAATAAACAACAGCTAAAAATAAAGAAAAACAACCGGAAAACTTAAAATAATTATTATCATTCATTAAAAAATACCTCAAATTCAAAACACATATGTTGAAAAGATAAGAATAAAAGAAAACAGTTTTCCTGACAGGTTTCTTCTTTCTCTTGAATCAGCTGTGGGATATTCAGCAGAAGATGAAGGCACTTTTTCTTTCCTTTAATAATTCAGAGGCTGGCTTTGGACTCGATCTGCTGGCCGGCTCCAGCTGGGAAACCCAAAAGTTAGGCCACAAGCAGATCAAAGAGCACTTCAAAGGGGCCGGCGGGATCAAAGGCAGACACGGCGTCCAGTCACATGTCGCCGCCCGCCTCTGACCAGATCTAAGGCCCAGATTTGGAGAAAAGTCTGAGCTCTTCATGTGGAAAAAATCGACGAATCCGGACCTGTGAAAGGTCTTTTCAGAAGAATCCTAACCCTTTAATCTAAAGTCTGGCAGAAGAATAAACTAACAGACAAAAACGTTGATCTGTGGAATCCTTCTAGGAACCATCCTGCTGCCTTTGGGTCAATTCAACATGTTTTTAAAGCTAATTTTTATCGGAATATCCGACTGAACTCTGACTTAAACCTGTCTGAGATAAAGCACCTGAGGGGGGGCTGCTGGGCCAAAGGGTCAACAGGTCAGAGGCTCAGAGGAGGAGCATTCTGGGGTGGGGGGGGTCTGGTGGGCAGCCGCCCACAGGGTGGGAACCATTTCCACCGCCTCAGTCTGCTTCTGCATCGTTCTGCTGACCAATATCTGGATGGAGACCCTCAGGACCTCTGGGGGGTCCTGTTCACCACCTCCAGCTGCAGGGAGGAGAAGTAGAACTTAGGTGAACATCTCCAAACCACTGGCAGCAGACTGGCAGCAGACTGGCAGCCCACTGGCAGCCCACTGGCAGCAGACTGGCAGCAGACTGGCAGCCCACTGGCAGCACACTGGCAGCAGACTGGCAGCCCACTGGCAACCCACTGGCAGCAGACTGGCAGCCCACTGGCAGCAGACTGGCAGCCCACTGGCAGCCAACTGGCAGCAGACTGGCAGCAGACTGGCCGCCCACTGGCAGCAGACTGGCAGCAGACTGGCAGCCCACTGGCAGCAGACTGGCAGCCCACTGGCAGCCCACTGGCAGCCCACTGGCAGCAGACTGGCAGCCCACTGGCAGCCCACTGGCAGCAGACTGGCAGCAGACTGGCAGCCCACTGGCAGCAGACTGGCAGCCCACTGGCAGCCCACTGGCAGCCCACT